CCTCTGTCAGTGCGCCCCAGGGTGGCTGTGGTTACAATGTAGCTTGCAGAATGTGTGTGTGAATGGGTGGATGACTGGATATGTAAAGCGCTTTGGGGTCCTTAGGGACTAGTAAAGCGCTATATAAATACAGGCCATTTACCTTTCATGTGATCAAGTGTTCATGTGATCATGAAACATGAACGCCTTTTCAACCAATCACATTCGTTCCCTCTGATCTGATCTCACGTGCCCTTCATCAGGCTGTGGGACAGGAAGCTGTCATGTTTCACAGCTGTGATGTGAAGCTGTCACCTAGGAAACAAACAGCAGCGCTGAGCGCGCTCAGAGCAACATCCTTCCTGCCATTCAAACCTTTATTCTTCTCTGTCACAAATCAGCAGATTAACCAGTTTCTGCTGCTCCACCTCTGAGGGGTTCACCTCTTTACAGGTTTCATCATCATCATAGACCTTTAATGTCTCTGGTCAGAGCACCTGGCGCTAATAGAGATCCCGGCTTAACAGGAAAAGTTGATAAATAGCAAGTTTTAGAGTTCATCGAGCCAGCGAACTTGAAGAAAGCCTGGATATGTAGAACTTCCTTTGTCCTCACAAAAACACACACAGGTCAGAGGTCAGGGGACTCACAGCAGGCACGAGCAGCTTGGTGACTTCATCTACAGCTCGTTTGAGTTTGATGTCGGCTCGGTTCTGGGCGTCTTCCACCGTGATGAGGACATGAAGGTCCTCGTTCAGGTGCTCCCAGTTTGGCTTCCCTCTGTTCTGGTCTTCCTGCAGGTGGAGACATGAGTGAAGACAGAGACAAGTAGTAAATATTCACATGTTGTCTGGTGTTCACAATTGACTGACTTTGGTGAAATGCATCCAGGGAGTTACAGTTTGTTTTTACATTCACTGTCTGTAGTCCTCAGAAGAGGGGCCTCAAAGCTAAAGGCTCTGTGACCCATTCTACTTTTAAATACTCTAGGAACTATAAGTAAGCCACCAGATCACAACAACAGTCACCTCAAGGTACTTTATATTATAAGGTTAAAAAAAACTGAGATTAACTGAAGGCTTTACAGGGAGTTTTTAGGACTTCCTGATAATAATGAAT